GCAGGAACTGATGGCCGTCAAAGAGGAGAAGGTGGGTACTCTATCTATTGCACCACTCACTGAGGGGAGGGAGAGAGAGAGGAGGGGAGGGAGAGAGAGAGGAGGGGAGGGAGAGAGAGGAGGGAGGGAGAGAGTAGAGGCGCAGAGACTGGATCTAGAGAATGCTGTGTTGGTGCAGGAACTGATGGCCGTCAAAGAGGAGAAGGTGGGTACTCTATCTACTGCACCACTCACTGAGGGGAGAGAGAGAGGAGGGGAGGGAGAGAGTAGAGGCGCAGAGACTGGATCTAGAGAACGCTGTGTTGGTGCAGGAACTGATGGCCGTCAAAGAGGAGAAGGTGGGTACTCTATCTACTGCACCACTCACTGAGGGGAGGGAGAGAGAGAGGAGGGGAGGGAGAGAGAGAGGAGGGGAGGGAGAGAGGAGGGAGGGAGAGAGTAGAGGCGCAGAGACTGGATCTAGAGAACGCTGTGTTGGTGCTGGAACTGATGGCCGTCAAAGAGGAGAAGGTGAGTGGGTGGTTGGCGGGTGCTCTGGTGTGGTTTGCTCCTTCTTTCCTATCAAACATTTATCGTCCTTATCTTCCCTCCTTCTTTTTTGTGTTTGTTACTCTCTAATCTTGGGCACTTATATGACCTTATTGTGTTGCAAGTGCCGTAAAACTCTTACTAAAACTATTACTATTCATTCTACTATTATTAGTAGTAGTATTATTATTTATATTACTATTACTATTATTATTACAATTACTATTACCCAAGACGGACTAAGACAAGACAAGACAACAGCCTCATTTTCGTTCCATCAGGCTCCCCTTGGTAACCAGCTGCTAGCTGCACGTTTAAAGCATAAACAAGGGACAGGAAGAAAGAGCGCACTGTTCAACTCGCTGAAACAGATGCCTGAATCTACTTTGAACTTCATAACGGCAGTTTTGCCTTGGGTTTTTTTCATATAAAATGTTTGGTATTTATTTTGACTGGTTTTTGTTCACATTTTGAATATAGTGAGTTGAGAAATTTAAGTTTTTATGAACGGAAAGCGGTCGTGGGTTGAACATGATGATGTAGATCTAGGAGTTTACGAAACGTAGACGTAGATTAGATCATACAGTTTAAAAACCACAGAACAGCCAGTGGTGCTCTGCAATGAACTGTTGTCTAACAGAATATACAATAGATTGGATATTTTTTAAACTAAAGATACGGCCACTGCTAGAGTCCAGCAGCCTAACTGTTGACTAGATCTAGATCAACTAGACAGCGAGCTGTTCCCCAATGTCAGAATCAATGATCAGGAACTGAAGCTAGGAAACAATGACGCTCCTGTACAATAGCGGTCCCGTGTGCTCTAAATCACTCAAGGCCTAAGCTAAGTGACCCTGTAGTCATTTGTACCTGTTTCTTATTTAGATTTAGGCCTTGATCTAGATTATAGATATCTAGAATCTAGATCTAGATCTAGATCTAGATCTAAACTGAATTAAAATAATTATAGATCTAATCAAGATCTATCTAGCTATCTAGATCTAGAAATAGATTATCTTGGTTATCTAGATCTAGATAGAATCTAGAGATATAGATCTAGATCTAGATTCACTCCCACATGACTATAATGGCCGTCATGTAGACATTAAAGGGACCACAATTGTACAGGTGCACCGAAAAAGAAGCCTTTGAAACAAGCACAGAATCGAAGCTTAAGGGGAGACGTACACTCCCAGAAAAATTTTCTAAACGAATGACTTTTATTTGATTTCATGTAATTGTGCAGGAAGTTCATAGGTAAATAGGATGTACTAGGGGTGAATTTGTTGAATTTTTCTGAAAAATGGGTCTCTGTGGCGGCCATCTTGGATTTTCAAATCAGTTTCTTAGTGCAGAAGAATTTCATAGTAAATATTGAATTATCAGCCTGAAATTTGGCACACAAGTACTAACCTATATGAACTGGGGATCCATTTAAGGATTTTGACCTATCTTTAAAACTAAAAAAGTGAGCCCAAAGTCATTGGACCTCCTAGAGTCAGTTGACGAAATTTTGGGGTACATATTTCAAAAAAATTGAATATTTCCTCGTTACCAATATTTCCCAATTCCCTTTCATAGATCCCCAGAATCGATCTTAAAGCAGCTGTACACCAAATTTGAAGCTTCTAGCCTCTGCAGTTTTTGAAAAATCCTTGCACCCAGGAGGTATGTCAAAAAGTAGATTTTGAGAAAAACAGAAAAAACAAGGATTTTTAAAAGGATTTTTAGAGCAATTTGCACTTTTCAAACGCACTTTTAGGTCATTTAGGGTGTTCTTTCAACAGTTTCTTCATTTTGACTGGATAGAACAGATGTCAAAGGATGTTTTTCCGGAAGAAACAAAAGTTGGATAGTTTGAAAAATTGTATGGATATTGCCTTGGATCGCCGACCCGGGTCTTCCCTTAAGTAGATCTATCTACAGTTGATATGATAGTATGAGTCAAGTTGCATGATATAGATCTAGAGTGTCTCTGCCAATTCACAGACAAGAGTCATTCGCCAACCACTTAGGGGCCTAGATCTAGATCTACTTTCCGAACTGCACACTCTTGCCTGGGTGCATAACAAAATCTAGACTCTCTAGATCTAGATTCTAGATCCTAGATTCTATATCTAGATCCAAATCTAGATAGGCTACGTTTATTCATTAAATACTCTCTCTCTCTCTCTGGGCTAAAATATATTAATTTTAGTAGGCCTAGGCTAGACATACCGCCCGAGATGATCAGTAGCCTTGCGTTGTAACCAATGTAAACTATCGCCAGTCCAGCGAGTTATACACGCAGCAGCAAAAGTGGGAGGGGCCTACGCTTGTCACATGACGTGAAGAAGAGTTGTCCCGTCTTGTCTTATTCCGTCTTGGCTATTACTAGTAGTAGTGGTAGTGATGGTGGTAGTAGTAGTAGTAGTAGTGGTAGTGGTGGTGGTAGTAGTAGTAGTAGTAGTGGTAGTGATGGTGGTAGTGGTAGTAGTAGTAGGAGTAGTAGTGGTAGTGGTGGTGGTAGTAGTAGTAGTGGTAGTGATGGTGGTAGTGG